TAATGATATATAGCTTAATTAACATAAACATATATAAGTTTCTAACAAAATGCTTTCCTGCAAATGACTTTTAATCCCTTATCTAAACATTCTTCCCTTACTTTCCTCTACATTACCCATTTGCCTTAACTTTTCCTGTATAAAAGAGCATTCAGGATGCAACATTGTGGCAATGTTTCCGTCTAGAACCTCGCATATATCATATTTCAGTTAGAAGAGGCACAAATGCCGACTGCTGTGGGCTAGGGTGGACCAAATGCGAGGTGAAAGGGGTCACCTGTCAGAGAGTAAAAGCGCAACGAAGCGCAAAGCGTTTTTGCATTTTGCATTAAATTTATGATTTTTACAGCTGACATTTGTTTTCGGGCGCCTTCTCCTCCTTGCAGCAACTATATGACTATGCCAGCTCCTCAGCCAGCAGCAGCCGCATGTGCGTAGGGCATAACATGCAACAAGGCAACAGCAACAACAACAACAATACCAAGTATGACAGCAACATATTTTTTCCGACTAGCAACTGCAACTGAATCAGCAGAGCCAATATGAATTTTAGGGAAAAGGCGAATTATTAAGTGCCCTGTCATATTCTTTAACAGAAAATCATTTTATTAAGGTTGTGTGGTTTGGTTCCAGCCTAGGAAAAAATATTCATAATATGTATCAATTATTGTAAAGTATTTTACTTTTTTAAAGAGTTCTTAAAGTTATTTTTAAGACACATAAAAATTAGAATAGTTTTAATATCCAAATTCCACAAACTTACTAACTTTATATTCTTAAAAAGCTTTTTTGAATAGAACACAATAAGAACTCCACAATTATAAACATAATTTCACACAAAAAGTATATTTATAAGCAATTTTTATGTTAAGTTTAGATTTCAAACTTCTTTTTCAAGTTAAAATACCCCCTGGAAGTGTATTACTACAACGGAGGTAGCAGCAGCTGTCATAAGATAAAAATTTGCCCGCGCCTGCATATTGCATATGCAACTGCAACCGTTGCAGGTTGCTAGTTGCTGATTCTAGGCAAGGGGGAGTAGCAGGGGAATGGGCCGAAAGGGGCAACATGCAACATATTCTAATGCGTTGCGACATCAAGTGACAGCAACGGCGACAGTTGCTGTTGCCGCATGAGAGGCGGCGACAGGCGACAGCAGCGAAGATGAAGAGAGCACCAGCAGTGCTAGTAAAAAATACAAAAAATATGTATGTGGAAAGCAAGCTGCATTTTCCCGGGCATGCAAATGAACTGCAATTATGATAAACGCCAGCAGTTGACCGGATGTGGGCAACTAAAGGAAAAACTGGCCCAAGACCTGGACACCTTTGCTATCGTCAAGATTGTGCAATTATAATAATGGACAATAAACATGAGATGATATGCTGAGAGATTGCAACAAAGAAAATTAAAAGGCTTGGCTAAAGTGGTAAACGTTTGGAACTATGCAACAAAACCGTTCTCTCTGCTTTCAAAAGACGTATACTTAATTTTTTGTCAAAAAAAAACTCAGCAAAAAATGGTCCAAGTATGAAAGTTTTAGTACTTATGATTTAATATCCATGAGTTAGTTCTTTATATGGTAACTCTCCTAAATTCTTTAAGAAATAAACTTTAGTTCCAGCTTAGTTTCATTTCTTCGTTTGAACTTTTAACTTCTTTCCACCTTTTGAAAAGCAATTCCTAAAAGGAAAGAATATTAAATTGAAGTCAACATATGTTGCCTGCTGGCCTATGGCTTTTAGATTTTTTTCCCATATATACATATTTTTTTTCATTTCTACTAGCGTTTTTGTGATGTTGCACACACACTTATACATGAAGAAAGCGAAGCCCCTTTGGCACATTACTCATACGCCCCAGTGGGCAAATTTATGAACTCGCCAGCGCACTTGAGGCCACGACAAACGAGCAGCAGAAAGCAAAAAAAAAACAGAAAAGGAAAGGAAAACCTACAAACACACATGCACTCCTGACATCCATGTACAAACTCTGGGGTAAGTGCGTTTGTGTGTTTATTGGAGAGTAAAGTATAAGTATGAGGCAAGTAAAGCAGCTTGTAAAATATGCCAAGGGTTAAAAAGTGTGCAGCATATAATTCATACACATATACGAGCACAACAGGAAAGTCGCCTGGAAAATATGGCCAAAGGGTAAAAAGATGAAAAACGCAAGGGAAAGTGTGAGGGGGTAATGGGGAAAGCTTAACTGCAATCGAGCAACGCGGGTAAGTAGATGAAGCCGAGGACTGCAGCATCTCTTAAGAGGTTGCATAGAAATACCAGCACTGCGGATAATTAAATTTTATTTCGGGTTTTAGTTTATGTTTTAAAACATTTGGTATTGGTATTAAATATTTAAGCATGTATAAAAGTAAGTACTTTAAGAATTTATGTATCTTTCCCTAAAAAAAAAACTTAATGAAGACCTTTAAGCTGATTGAGAAAACTTGAATAACATTTACTAAGTCTTTTCCATTAATAATTAAAACTTATTGAGAAATCTTCCACTTTTTAAGTGCTAAAAAAACCAGGAAGAGCCGAGGAAAAACACATTGTCAAAGCTCAATATTCCCCGAGACATCCCGCAAACTAACAAGCACTCAACCACTTTGGTGACCATTTTGCGTTACTAACAGGGCTTTTCCGGTCACATGTGCCGCATCCTCCTTCGCTCTCCTACCCTGTAAGCCGCATAAATGAACTGCTAAAATGCTAACAAAAGCCCGAAACGGAAACGCCCGCCAGCCGTAGTGGAAAAAAGGACACCCCTACTTATTTGTCTGTTGGGGATATTCGCTTGGGCGCGGCAGACACAAAAAAAAAAGGATATGGCCAAACCCGGTTCTCTATTATAATTTCTCCGCTTTTTTTCCCTGTTGCCCGCATTTGTGGTTTGTAATGTGTTGTGTGGCCACAAAATACTGTTAGCCACTTAATTTTGTGGTTTACTCAGAAAAGGAGAGCGAGACTGTGTAGTTTTTGTGTGGTTAATTGAAACTCGATTGCTTTGTGTTAAACCAGAAATGAGTCTATTAAGTCCAAAAATGAAACTAAAACAATAATGTGAGACAAAAGGAAGCCATAAAACGTTTGACTCTTCCAGCCATTAAAATGGCATCTAAATAAACATTTTATGGTTTTTGAAAGGCGAAACTTTCAAAAGCTTCTTAATGAACACGACAAATTCCACAATGGACGGCGCGGGGGGAATTTTATGAGAGCATCACCAAAAATGTTCAAAAATCAACTCAAGAAAGAAAAAATAAAGGCGTGGGGCAGCAGCAGCAGCTGTCAATATATGGCCGAAATATGTAAATTATCGATTGTTAATTCAAAGCGCCACGATTAGTATAATTGTGTGTTTCTCTTTCAAATCCTAAACATTTTAATGCCATAAAGCTAGAGCAACATTTCGTCTTTTGAATATTTAACCAATTGCGTGGATTTCGCTTTGTTTTTACGATCATTTTTCGTTTTTTACGATGCTGCGGCCTCAATAGAGCAATTTAACCAAAGATTATGATTATTAGGTATGATTTCTTAAATTGCTCTTAGGTGGGAGAGCTGTGACTCAGATGTATACTATTTATAGAGGAGGTAACCTAATGGAAATTTGATAAATGAGATGCAGGCTATTAAGAGAATGTGTGGGTAGTGTAGAAACGATTTCTTTAAAATAGGTATTTTTTGGGAGATAATAATAGGAGATAAAATAAGTAATATTTCCGATAATTATGTTAAGATTTTAATTCATTTTCTTAAGAAATTGTCTGAAAAGACTAACTCAAACATTTCCCCTCTGACTACCCAAGTAAAGAGTTTTCCGCCAGCTGTTTTCTGTTTACAGTGATGGAAAATTCTCAGTGAAGTGAGGGAAATTCACTGAATCCTGGTCTCTCCACGGAAATGGTTCTCTCTGACTGACTCTCTCGTGGTCTAAATCATATTTTCTCCGCTTGCAGCTTTTAACACATCCCCCACTCTATCCTCACACACAGGCACACACATACTAGCACACACTAACAAGCGCCACACACATACGCCCACCTGCTCGTAAACAATTATGGCCGACGCCGTTGCGCTCTCCACACGCACACTTCTGCGTTATGGCTGCACACACATGTGTGGAAATAAATTCCCCACAAAAACACTGCGAAACAGCAGCAACAAAATTACCCAAAATGGCTACACAGAAGCGACGATCGCCCAATGAGCGTGTTGGTGTCGGTGTGACCAGCGTTATGTGTGAGTGTGGCCTCTATTTTGGGCTATTATTTAGTTTTTTAATGTGTGATAAACAAATTTAAAGGAAATAATTTAATGGTGTTTTTTAGTTTGTTAAGTACAAAATGGACTATGCTAGTTTCAGGACCTAAAATGTACAACTAGTCGTATACGTAATATATCTAGATTCTTGGCTCAGAGGGTAAAATGTAGACCCCTAGGACCTATAGAACCTTTTTAAAATATACTTTTTGGAAGATTTTTAAGATAATCAGTTTTTAAGAATATTTAGTATTTTTTTGTAAGTAAATAAAAAAAAGAACATTATTTTTAAAAAGAAACTCAACGTTTTTGAAATTTCCGTTACATTCTGCAGTCTATACTATCAGCTTATTACCATCTACTACTAAAACGCCATTTCTACTGCGCTTTTTCGTGCTCCTCTCCCACGCGAAACTTGCTGCCTCAGCAAAAAGCATGCGCGCTCAGCAAAGAGCGGCAAACTACAAACTTTTGCTCTCGTCCCCCAACTACTAAGCTGTCGCGCTCTCCGCTCTCTGGCTCTCTTGCTCTCGCTGTGAAAAAGGGGAGCGCATGGCCTCGGACAACAACAAAAGCACACTTGTTGAAAATGAAAACGTACAGAAACAACACAAACAACAAAGAGCGAACTGGTTTTGAAGCGAGCGCGAAAAACTAGTGAGCGAGAACCGAATAGAGAGTGGGCGACACGGAAAGAGCGAAAAGGAGCGTGCACGTCATGTTGTTTATAGATTTTTAGTCGAATTTCGTTATTTCACGTTTAAAGTTCGTACGTGCGCTGAACGGACGGACTGTTACGACCGGAGTGTTGTGTTGTGAGTGCGAAAGCGTAAAATCGGCGGATATATATACATATATATATACTCGTATATATGTACTTCCCAAAAATCCCCAAAAAGTTGCCTATTTTTTAAATCGTTTTCGAGTGATGATCTTTGTGCTTTATCAAAATTAGACTGAGTTCAAAACAACAACAACAAATTATACATGTGAAACAAAATTAGCTAACTTTTGGATAAGCCCACGTTTCCGGAACCATCTAATAACGTACGTGCCTCATCATAAAACGCGCCCTCAACGAGGCATTCGAGCGAAACCACAAACCAAAAACGGCCAAGCCAAAGAAAATTATAAAGTACATCTAACAAAAAAAACAAAGAAGAAAATTCATAAATAAATACATTATCAATAATCTATGCGTGAATCAAACAAAAATAATACATATATGCCTACAAGAAGGGAAAGTAATGTGTAAATTCTTTTTTAGACAAACACATATCGTGTAAAATATATATAAATATTAAATCCAGCTGGGAGGCAATTATAATACTTAATGAATTTATTGCACAATTAAAGCAAAGCCAACTAATAACAACAACAAATTAATATGCCGCTGGCGTGAAAGTCACAACTCGACGCATGAGAAATTCCCCCTGTGCGCCGCAGCACTGAATTATTAATGAAATCGAATTACAAACAAAGCCCAGCTACCAGCAATAACGATTGCGAATCGGAATCGGAATAATAATACGAATAAAAGATATATACACAATACGTTAATAAATAATTAATAATCATAAATAAGTACACACATCAACAAGAGCCGCGGAACGTGGACGGCTTAATCAGCGAAAAGTCAGGCAGCTGGAAAATATTACAATCGAAACGCGCAGGCGCAGGCGCCGCTTTTCACACGAGTTGGCAGCACACGCCACATAAATTGGCATTTACCGTTAAGCGCGCTGCCGTACTTTTGCGGTCGGGACAAAAGCAGTAAAAACAACAACAACCACTCAACACCTCCACCGAACCACCAAAGAAAAGCCGTCAAAGTGGATTTAACAAATTATAATAAAATGCTGCAATCCAGCAATCATCATTATTTAAGGCCGGATTATATGACAGCTGCAGCTGCCCCAACAGCGGTAAGAGTTCATCTCTTTTGTCTCATTTTTGTTTTTTGAGGTGGGAAATAATGGGAAAGGTGCTTTATTTGGCAGTCAGAAGTTGATTGAATTTATCGGGTTTTATCGTTCAAATCGGGTCAGTGATTAATCGCATTTACTTTTTTTGGCAAACCTGCTTAGTTTAGTTAGATTTGAAGATTGAGTTTGTGGTAATTAAATGTATATTTTTCGTTCCTTTTTAATTCTATTAAATCCAACGAGAAAAAGGCGCTGTTAACTGAATTCTCTTTGCATTCCTGAGCTTTACACATTTTAACCATTACCTTATCAAATCGGTTTGATTTACCTATTTGTTCCGATTAACAAGGATTGCAAACCTAGTTAAGCCATGACATATGGATTACTGGAAAATGTGAAAGAAATAAGAGAAATTCCTAAATCATACTAGCCCAAGAAATAATAAAGATTTTAGCAATAACAAGCAATTCGCTACGTTCGATTACAAAACTTACAGCCATGAATTACAAACTATCGACATTTCAGACATTTGAAATAGATTGTCTAGCCATATTTCATAAATAATAAAAATGTCGACTGTAAAGCGCACTAGCCACAGGCGAAATCTCAATGAGAAACTACAGCAGCAAATCCCAAAACGAATCCCAAAAACCTCCTACAAACTTCCAGAAGACTTTGGGCCATGTGCAGTGCGAAACGGAACTGAGGGGGAAAAAAGCCAAACGGCGAATTCACAATCGTAGAACGATAAATTCTCCAATATCTGCACATAAAACTTATTTATGTTTGTTCATATTAAACTATGTAAATCTGTAGCCGAGAGCTCTGGCTCTGTCTGAAAGTGTTTAGAGAGTCGGTCGAGTGAGTGCACCTCTGGAAATTGTATGTATATTTATGGCGCGCCAAATTTGAATTTATAATGACAGAAAACAAATGCAATTTCGCACACTAACACATCGACTCTATATATACTCGCATATAGTTCGAGGAACTATGGCAGTTAATCAGAGTCAAAGTTGTTGTGGTCCCCATTACCCCCCCACTACCGCTTTATCCAAACTATATCTCTCGAACTGCCGTGAGACTCATAAATTTTCATTTTAATTTGTTGAGCGCATTTCGTTCATAAAGAACGGAAGCAGTTTATGGCACCAGCACGATGAGTACATTCATTAACTGGGTAATTTGGAATAGCGTTTTCGTAGCTTACGTGATTTACTGGTTTCGGCCGGTGGCGAGAGTCGAACTAATATTTCCATATTGGTCGTGTGAAAGCTTTTCAGCAGCGCCAATGAGCCAAAACCCATAAATCAATGGATTGTATCTGATGAACTGGTTCCGGTGACGAAGTGACTGACAGATCTGGGATTTCTTGATATTTAAGAAGTAATGAGAAGCATTTTAGAATGATATTTGGATTGGATTTTGTATCATTTGAAGTTAGAAAAATCTTAAACAATTTTTATATAAACTAAATGATCATTAAATTTTAAATACCGCAAATAATACCCTTTTCTTAATACACTTTAAACCACTTAACCATAAATAATTGACTTGCGACGTGTTAAGTAAATTTAGCTTTACGTGTCTCCCGGTGACTGACTAGCCTTCTTCTTTTGTGCTTTATCTGCGATACTATCGGCGAACGTATAAATTATTCAGTGATTAATGGCAGCTGCTTATAATTAATTATAATAAAATCAAATAAACTAAGCCTGACAGCTGTCAGTGTCATCATTTGTATATATCTTTTATGTGGCGCCCCATAAAGGCAGAAACACAAAAAATATAAATACGACGAGCGAAAATGAAAAAGAGAGATCTTCAAAAGTGACTGTTGATAATTTGCTGTCACATGTTGAAAAATTACAAAACTTTTTGAGACGAAAAAGGAAACGGCGTCGCAAAAATGGTAATAAATGCGACTCGTAGCTATCTGTTAAGCAATAACTCAAAATCTGAACGTGAAAGTCAGTTCCAGTTGTTCGTTCGCCAGAGCTCATGTCAGAGCTTAACATGAGCTCAAGACCAGTCAGTCAGTCAGTCATCCAGTCAGCCAGTTAAACTGACAGAGCGGCAGAAAAAGGTAAATAAAGTGCAAATGTCAGCTGACCGCAAACATCATTAATATAATTAAATGTGTCAGTCAAGCGGCCATTTATCCAGTCGGACGTTCATTTCAGTTAACCACAGGCTGTTCAGTTCGGTTTGGCTTGGTTTGGGCCACCAAATAAAACCCAAACAGCTCGGTCGGAGATCTGGCAGTTAAAGTGTGCTCTTGACATAACGGCTCTGTCTCAGGCCTTTCCCCCCTTAGCCAGCGAGTTTTCCCTCCCCTTCTAGCCTTCCCAAAGGGCCAAACCATTCTTTCGGTTTTGTGTTTGCGTGTGGCTCTAATTAAAGTGTCATCAACAGCAGAAAATGCCAGGCGGCAGCAGCAGCAACAACAAATGAGTCGTGGCAAGTCGAGTAGAGTTGCCCCAGCGTGTTATGTTAGTGATAAATTGCCATGTCTAGAGCTGTCATGTTAATTTTTTGTACTCGCACACAAATAATAGTTTTTTGTCCAAAGTGTTAATTAATTCTTGGAACATTTTAAATATGTGAAAAGCGAGACGGGCAGCTCTCAAGTACAAGCGGAATTGTTATGGCACTCTAATTGGGGTTGGGCTGGGTTAAAAGTCAATTTACATGGGGGGGGCCATTAGAGGGTTTAGCATTGTATACAAACGTATGTTTGACATTAACACACTCTGCTTATAACTTATATATTATATATGCTTTACTACTCACCCATATCAGTTATTGAAAATAAACTATTACTCACCTTAGAAACTTTCTGCTGTAATCAAATCAAAATTCTTTATAAACGCTGTATTAATCAACCCAATCAATCAATCAATAAAAGTCATTGGATCAGAAAATTTGATATTCGAATAACTCCTTGAAAGATTATCCTCGCAAACACTTGGGTTTATGGAGCGATAAGAAACCGATTAAGAACAGACTTAAAAATAAACAGTCATTGAAAACGATATCTACTGCCGTTCATTAAGAAATTTATGGCATTTTATGGTGAGATCATAAATTTAACGATCCAATTTCGTTAATAAGCGACTATAAATATCAAGTAAGAAATAGAAAGAAGCCATTAAAACTTGAACAGCAGCGTCCAATACAATGTTACCATTGTTATAACTATTATTATTGCCTTTGTTTTGAGACTACAATCAAATGGCATTTATCACTCGAAATTCAGTGGCCCCATCCAGTTTCGTGTGGCCAACACCTCCGAAAACCCCCTGCGAAACCTCAAAACTATAGTCATAACCATTCATGGCAAATCGCATTTTGAAAACTAAATGCTTGCGTATGTACAAATTGAATGGGTGAAACTCAATGAATTCATTTAAATGCACGCGAGGCGGCAACTATGATAATGAATTGCAATCGCCGCTTAAACCGCAAAATAATAACCCGTTTTTTTCTTCTCCCTCTCTATAGAGTTAAGTCGCGGCATTACAAATTATGGCCCGAGATAATCGATTTGGTGGAGGGGGGGGCTTTTAGCGGTTGGATGAGCGGGTGGGGGGAGGCGAATGTGGGTTATAAAACAGTCAAAGTCAATAATCGTAAAATGCTCCAACAAATTAACCAATAAATTCATATAGAAGTAATCAAATTAATGTTCCCGCTGATAACTGTCAATTGCATTATCATCATCGCCATTAACAGCATCATGAGATGTGTCACAAACTTAATTGTCCGCTTAAACGGGTTGGTTTAAAATGTATATCTGTACATACAGAAAAAAGGCTAAAGAATATATTTTATATCCTAAAAAATGCTTTTAAATATGGCCAAGAAATAACACATGTGACTGCCATATTTTCACCTTGCTCGTTTTCCCAAATTGCTTTTAAAGCCAAGGCACAGAATGAATAAAAATCCCCCTTAATACCCCCCAATGTCCAAACGAGACTCTTGACCATTACGGCGGCATTCTTAATGCCTGGTAATCCGATGAAAATTAAATGGGTTTCAAATGGTATCAATCATTAAGATTGTTACTGCACGACGACCACGGGGCGTATGAGTGATTGCCATTGAATTATATATAAATATTAATCAGTTGGCCGCCCAAAAAGCCCCTCCACCAAGAGCCACACAAAACAGATCATTGGGAAAATAGGGCTTTCATAGCTCAACAAAACATTTGACACAAAATGCATACAAATTGCTTTTGAAGCTCCGTCCTACGAATTTCTAAAGAAAGCCCTGAAAACCACTCAAGAATGTGTATTTTTATGGGTTTGTAAGTAAAAGGAAACCTCAATAAAGGTTGGGGAAGCATATATATATATATATATATAGAAATAGGCTAAAAATGTAATGTTGATAAGCCCACAAAGTGGTCAAACTGGCGCCTTTTCTTAGATGGGGGAGGAGGTGCCAAGGCGGCAACGACAATTTCAATCAAATCAACCCACTGAATGGGACGGAAAACAAATAAACAATCAATCTCAATCACATCAATTATGCGCTGAAACAACTTGTGAGCTATCAAAGACCTCTTATCATCGGGTATTTCATTTTTATTTCCGTTGGAAACTCTTTTTTTCGGGGGACTGTATGCTCGGCTTTTATTTATTTATTCTATCGCGATGTTAATCATTTTAATTGGCGCCACTTGAACGAGTCGCACTCTGTGTGAGTGTCTGATTGGTGTCCATTAATTTTGTGGCAGTCATTTGAAAGCGTTTCAAATTACTTTTCGTGTTGCAAGCTGGTCTCAATTTACAGCGAGCACCGAAAGTGAAAGTGACCGACCGGCAAAGGCACTTTCGAGCGATTGCGATAAAGAAATTATGGCCAAGCCGTCACACGGTACAATGAAAGCCCAAAAAAAAAGAACTGAAATTGATCATAAATTATCGGTAAGCATTATCTATTGATTTGAATATGGATGGTGAGGCTTTTCTATAAAGTAAATTGAAGGA